AAGATCTTGGCCAAGATCTTGAGTGACAGATTCAAGAATCCAAGATCTTGAAACATCTTGGCTTACGCCACCCAAGATCTTGAAATTTCTTAACCCAAGATCTTGGCCAAGATCTTGAGTGAAAAATGGAAGAAACCAAGATCTTGACTTCTTGGTGTTTTTTCCAGGATCTTGTGACATTTCTTAACTCAAGATCTTGGCCAAGATCTTGGGTACAAGAAGTTCCACTAGGGTGACGATACGTATTACAGAGAAAGAAAAAATTTAATTATTATTAACATTTTCTCGATACCAATCTACAATTTGTTGTTCAGCTACTTTCATTTCGTTTTCGATCATATCATCTGTATATAAATTACCAAAATTTTCTTATAATTTTCGAATTTTATTATCACATGTAAGTAATTTTTCAGATAGATGTTTTTTTAAACATTTTAAACAAAAGTTTTGATAACATTCACAACAAGACGCTTGTAATGGAATATTTTTACACATAGGACAATTTTGTGATGAATTGTTGGTAACTGATGATTTTAACGACATTAATTGATTTGATTTGTATTCACTCGCATATCAATCTAGAAATATGGAATAGTTGTAGAAAACATCACATTTATTGATTCGATCACATCCCCTTAAAGGGAAACGATAGAAAATTAGCTCTACTCTTGAAATCTTGATTGACAGGTTCAACACACTGGAAATGATTAGAGCAATAAGAAGTAAAACAAGAACAAACAAGTCATGGTTTATCCTACAATGTGAAAATTTTTCATTAAAAAGTAAGTGAAGTAAGGTTTAGAAAATGTTAAAAGGGAAATATACCAGCATGTTTAGCACCACAGCTTGATTGGAAGAAATAAGAGAGAGATAACGAAATAGAAGTAAAAGTTTGATCTTCAAAAATCTTCGTTCTTCTTGATTTTTCTCTTGGTATTTTGTAAAAGTTTATAAGATTATCATCCCATCAGTAAAAGAGAATCAGCATCATTACAAAATATGAGCGTCATAGGGTGAATCCACGGAAAAAATACCATGATTTGGAAAAGTTTTTGTTTTTTACTTTTTTTGGCTTCAATGATTAGCATCGAAGTAGAAAACATCTTTGGCCGTTTCATGAGAAAAGTTAATAATAGGGTTTCTGGAAAATCAAGTCCTCGATTTTTGGTCAGAAAATTTTGTAAACTATATAGCCTGATAGAGCATAGAATCTGAGAAACATAAGACATCTCTTGGCGGTCTACAATGCTTTTTCACTGAATCGCAGTCGATGTACAAAGGGCATGAAAACTACCCAAAAAGTCCGGTGAAGAGCAGTATTCAGATTGGTTCCAAACTTTACTAAAAGATCAAAAATAAAGGAGTTCTTGTGATTATGACACGCTGTACTACATATATAACACCCGAACGCTTCTTTTTCATATCTTTACTGACTGGTCCCACCTGTCTGGATATTTTGACCGGTTCACTTTGTAGACAATTCCAAGGGCTATCCAATGGTATGTTTTTGAATAATACATAGAAGAGTAGATAGATGAACTAGTTGAAATAGCTCCGTATAAGATCCTAGCCGGACATGTACCGGAATATGTGACAAAAGCTCGAGGATTTTATAGACACGTCCCTAGTTTTTTCCAACCAAAGATGTTTTCTACTTCGGTGCTAATTATTGAAGCCAAAAAAAGTAAAAAACAAAAACTTTTCCAAATCATGGTATTTTTCCCATGGTTTCATCCCATAACAATTATGTTGCAAAATACATTGATTCTTTAACTTCGCCTTATAGTATTATATAAGACTATGCTTCATTGAAAGTTTGTATTCACACGATAATTTCGGCAGGATGCGTTTTTTCGCTCTTAAATGTACACAGCCGGCCGCTTCTTAAATACGATGCAAAGTGACATCTCTCAACTTTAAACGCGATATTTCGTTAGCCAATCCATATGCATCTATTTGCACACTGTTCACTGTATGTATGTTATGTCTCTCGAAAGAGAAGCAAAGTATGGTACAGTAGCATCCAACACGAACTAAGTAGCAAAAAAGTGTTATTCACTTTTTTAGCGTCGATTCTTAAGATCTTCAGCAGCTGCAGTTTATTGCCCAGACTAATAGTTGTGACTAATAGTGTTCAGATAATCTGAACATTCTACAACTTCATTATTTATTTCTCTCATTGGAATAGTGCGTATAAACGATTTCTGTAGAGAAAAAGAGTCTTTGGTTTGTATTTTTCTTAGTTTTTAATGAATAATTTTTTTGTGCTACAGCATCGCTTGATATTTCTGAGTTTTTTGTGTTTGTATATTAGAATAAATAATGGAAAATAACAATTGTGGAGCAAGTCTAATATTGAATCCAGAAATAGCCAGTGCGCTGAATGATAATGAAGAACACGAATTATCGACTTGTAACGAAGAATTTGAAAATCAAGAAGAGGTAATGTACAAAATATGTTAAAGATTTATTTCGTATTAAGAATGTTTTCAGATTTGCTTTAGATTCAAAAAATTTTGTGTAATGCATTTGATGACGATGATCAAGAGTTTCAAGATGACCAAGATTCTGTCAGCGACATCTCAAATAGCGATGAGAAGGATCATTTGTCCTCGAATCAAAGGTATATATCAGGAGGATGTTTCATAAAAATTCTTAAGTGCTCGACTTAACTTCGTCTAGACTTAAATCTTCGTTTTGTCACAGAACGAGGACTTGAGTTTAGACTAAGTTAAGATGAGCACTTAAGAATTTTTATGAAACAACCTCCAGTCTTTCGCTTAATAAATTTGATTTCTTGATGTTTAGAGATGTCTTTAATCAGTATAATCAGCTTGCTTTTTCAACTCCAGCAACGATAAATCCACCAAATTTGACCACACCAGATTCACGAGTATGTCATGAAGTTAGAAAAATCTATATAACAATCATGTCTTGAAACCCGTTTTTTCTTTAAGGAACGATATTCAAATGGTGTTGATTGTATTATTATGAATACAGTTTTAAACAATTTAAAAAACAAATGTGTTGTTGGTAGTTTTGGAAATCGTATGCAATACAACAGTGAAGGTGCGGAAGAACAACAACCTTTACTTGGTAAAGCAACAATATGTTTGGTTGTTTCCTGAATAAAATCAACGTTATACTTATTTACTTGACTTTTAGATCCATATTTCAATGATGAATCAAGATGGCAATTATTGAATATAAAATATAATCAATTGTCAGACGAGAATATGACTATACGGAATCGAATTTTTTTTTTAGAAAATGAACTTGAAAGAAGTGAATATTTAAAATTACAAGTACGTCATGGTTCAGATGATCTAACACTGGAGCTACCAAATATGACCTGAACAGATGAAAATTCTTCGGAGATTCTGTCTGTGACTAGTCCCGAAAGTTCATGTGTCGTCTCTAGCTAGTGAGGGAAAAACTATTATCTAAAACTAAACTAACAAAATTGTTTGCTTGCTAGTACATCATTGACTAGCTAGTGTTTATTCAGAAACTGACCCGTACTTAACTAGCAGATAGGCAAGTCACAGAATAGTTAAACAAGACAATTAGTCAGTAAATGGATTCACTTTTTGACACTTGGCTTAGTCAGAACCAAAGTCGAAAGCATTTTTATAATTAGTCCGTTTACTCATTTAGAGCATAGAGATTATTTCTAAAACATTTTGCGTATTTATTATGTTCGTTTTTATTCTTGTTATTTTCTAGTTACAAAACAAATTGACATCGGCAGAATCATTAATTGAATCGTTGCACAAAAAAATACATGAATTAAAACAACTGGATATACTTGGATGTCAACAAGAAAGTTTTGATCAAACTATTACTGAGATGAATGCAAAACATGAACATGAAATTATGAGACTAAAAGAAAAATTAGAAACATTTGAAATAATGTTAAATGAAAAAGTATGTATACGTATTTGTGTAGTTCTTTTTAAAGGGTAAAGAACATCTGCCTCGTTTCAGGATCGGAAAATCGATGATTTTGTTTTGAAATTAGAATTGGCAAATAAAACAAATGAAACTACTTTACTTGAACGTACCGATATCATCAATAATCTTGCGCAACAATTAACCAGTTGTCAAGAACGATATAACGACTTAATGAATGAAAATAATAAACAAATTCATTTGAGAGAACAATTGCAACAATTGAATAGTGAAAAGAACAAAGCTGAACAACTATGCAATACTCTACAGGTGAGTAAAAATATAACAACTGTGGACATCTGAACTTTTGTAAAACAGTATTTATTATTTAGATTGAAATTCAACAATTAAAAGAAAAATTACAAGCAAATGAAGATTTGTTTAAAATTAAAAATTTTACTCATGTAGTAGATTACAGCAATACAGCGAGGTAATCTATTAGCTATCAGCTAGAACAAGCAATGCTGCGGTTTTGATCAGTGTAACTAGCTTACACAAAAATTTCAGAATAGATAAATAAATATATTCATAAGACCATTGAGCTAAAAGAGATTTTAAAAGATTACCGGCTTCATGGTATCTTGTTGATTCCAAATTTGAGATTTGTGTTAATGTTGACATGAGTCCTTTTTCAATAACTAGAGGACATTCTTTACTATCTAGTCCGAACAGATTAAAAGTAATATGTGTATTTAATTCCTTTCTCCGCTTTCTCCGCATCGAATATTGTATGAAGTGTGAACCATATCATCGCCTCACTAGTATTGAGACATACATTCATGAAATACCGAACGTAGAAGGTAACTTTGATTTTTAACGTTTTCTGCGTTCATTCTAAAAGTTTAACCTAAAATGCATTTTTAATGAGATCAATATTCGATCATCGGTACTCATCTTGACGTCGTATAATGCTGAAAATCATCTTCACATGATAGTTTTAATTGCATATTGTAAATCTAACGGTAGTCATTTTGGAAAACTTAAAATCAGCCCTTCTTTTTGAATTTGAATATTTGTCGCTAAAATTCAATTTAAATAGTAATGAAAGAAAGCACGTACAGCTGTACTAATAGAGGGATACTATGTTTGAAAATATTAGAAAAAATATATTTGATGTATTTTAAACAATAGCATAGTCAAAAAACTCAAAAACGTTTTCGTGGAAGAGATCTGAATTTGCAGAAATTGTCTTAAAAGCGACGAGGTTGAACAACCTGGATTTGGTTTAACTTACTTGTTTAAATGGTAGTTATCCATTGTACTTTGATTATCGAGTTAAATCATAACATTGACTGAATATTGAAACGTAGTGTGAAAAGTTTTTTTTAATATTGAACAGCAAGTGTGTACAGATGATAATAAAGAATCCTATGTTAATTCGTATTTTTATATTTAGTTCTATTCCCGTATCAGTGGCAAATGATGATCATTCATTCAACAGCAATAACATGTTGGTAGAAAATGAAAAACTTCGTCAACGAATCGATGAACTATTATTGAATAAAGAACATCTAATCAAGATTAATGATAAAAATTATGAAAAACATATTGAAGAACTGAATAATGAGTATCAGGAGCGCTTAAAAGAAAAAGATTGTTTATATCATGCACAGAAGCTACAATCAATCCATGAACTAACCGAAAAATATGAAAACGAAAAATTTTTAAGAAATATTGAACATGAAAAATTAATTAATAAATTGAATGATGAATTATCAGATGTATGTGATAAAAAACAAAAACACTCAGAAGAATTAAAACAACAGATTAATAAATTAACGAACCAACGAGATGATTACGAAGTTAAGTTAAATTTGGTTTTAATGGAAAATAAATTACTTAAAGAAGAAAATAGTGAATTAGTAAATGAGTTAAAAGAACAACAAGACAAATTGACAATTACTCATCAAAAAAAAAGATGCGTCGAATCACAAACGGTAAGGCTTTCTTACTAGGTAAATCGTTCGAATTCGGATTCAGGTTTGATGCATGCGTAAACAAGTAGAAAAATGGATCATAGCATATCAAAATCTCTTATGTTTTTTAAAGGATATTGATCAAGTCGTTTATGTTGAATTATTGGAATTGCGCAATAAAAATGATCACTTATTAAGTGAAATACAACAAGTAGAAATTCGATATAAAGAACGGCTAGAAGAAAATAGATTTTCAATCGAAAGATCTGATAATGTCATTGTTAATCAACAAAGAGAAATTGATCAGTTGAAACAACAGCTTGAACAGCTTGGACAAGAAAAACAAGATTTAGTAGTTAAACAACAACGAGTAGTTGATATTCAGATGGTAATCTCAAATTATTTACTATTACCGAACACACATTACCGACTCTATCATCTTTGATTATTCTTTTAGGAAACGGTAGAGAGTGACAAAGTTCGACTATTACAATGTGAAAATGATGAATTGTTAAATAAACTTGTTTCAACTGAAAGTAAAATTAGACAGTTGATTAACGAAAGCAATGATTATAAATTAAAACTGAATAGTAAACAAATGGAAATAAATAGTTTAAAATTTGATTTAGAAAACTTTAAACATGATGAAACGATTCTGAAAGACCAACAACAAGAGAAGAATGAATTAGAACCCATAATAAAACAACGTGATCAATATTATGCTGAATTATGTAAAATGCGGGATGATGGAAATGTTTTAAAACAACAAATGATTGAAAGTTTTCAATTGAAAGTAAACAGTTTGAAACAATTTGCAACAAAAAAAGAATATGAATATAAACAAAAATTAGACTTGATGGAAAATGAATACATGAATCAATATGAGCAAATGTTGTCAACAACTAAACAATCGATACAAACAATAATGGATCTTAAACAAGTGGAATTTACAAAAGAAAAGGTAAAGAATTTCAGACAGAAAGTAGCGGTCTTTGTATTTATGTATTTTCTTCATATTATTAGACTCAATTGATAGATGAGTACGAGATGAAAATTACTGCTCTCCAACGACAACTGAGTAGTGATGAACAGAAAAGAGAAAGTATTGTGCGTAATTTGATTCAAGTAAGCTCTCTTTCACCTGTCACAGGCTCTTTTCGACTCATAGCATGAGTGATTAGTAAACATATGCATGTTTATTAAGAACGGATGACACAGAATAAATGACTCTCGCCTAGAGATCTGCACAGACAGCCCGCGCACAGCGGTCGTGGATTCTTTCTGAGCAAAAAAGAAACAACAAAATTCCACGACCGCTTGCGCGGGCTGCCCGTGCAGATTTCTACTCTCGTCGTACCTTTTGCATAACTTTATTATTTTTGTAGCCCTTGAAAAGCTCTATTACTAGATGCGTTTAGAACTCCTCATAATCACAAGATGTTTGGGCAAAGTTCTTCTTCTCTGATCTATTTTGTCAAAAACCATCCTTTTTGTAACTGCAGTTTCGGGGCGATTGGTGAATTTTGACAACTCGTCTAAACTCAAATATTTCGAGATCGGATTTGTTTTATCTTACAGTAAAATCATTCTTTTGTATCATCCGAACAGCGACAGTTCAATATCTCTGTTTCTTCTCTCTTGTCCTGGTGAATCTTTGATAAAATCAGCTTTTGCGTCAGAAGACACGTCCACAACTATTACAGACGAAAAGAAAATCGATACTTCGAAGAACATTCGAGCATGTATTGTGGTTGGACTTTGATGCACGGTGCTGTGTTCAAAATAGTTTATTTTCGTTGTGCTTTGAGCTAGAAAACGGTCACGATTGAAACTTTGCAGTATTTTATCCATATTTCTTTTTCTTTTTACAGTAGATAGAAAAATGTTTGACATGTTTTGTGTAGAGAATGAAATGGCTAATGTTTTAAAAGGAAGTTTCAAAGACAAAAAGGTTATGCAAGAGATACGAAGAGAGTCATTTATTCTATGTCATCCGTTAGACTGAATTTGACAAGAAATGTAATTGGCGATTGAATACGCAGATTACATGCCTTATCTTCTGAGTACTTAATCGACAAAAAACATGCTTTCTTTTGTGTTTCAGGGAAAAGAACATGAATGGGAACAAAAGTTCATTTTATCTGACAATGAGAAAAAAGTGTACGAAAAGAAGATTGCTGAATTAAATCGAATAATTAAACAGTTGAAACGTCAATTAGAAAAAAGCGAACAAGAGCATCAACGTTCTCTCGAAGCTGAACAATCGAATCATGAAAAATTACGTGAAACAATTATATCAACATTAAACAAACAACATGAAATGAAATTAGCAGAACAAAAATTTGAATTTGAACGTTTGTTAACACATCCGGCTAATAAACTCCATTTTACATCGTTATTAGACGAAACGAAACAAAAAAAAAATCATGAAATTCACATATTATACGATCAAATATCGAAACAGAACGAACAACAAATTATTTTGATCGATGAACATCAAAAACAAATTGAGCAATTAAAATGCAATTATGAAAAACATTATTCATATTTATTAAATGATTGGAAATCGTACAATGATGAGTTACGCATTGACAATGAGAAATTAAAACAAAAATTACAAGAACATGAACAAACAATAATTAGTTTAAAATATGAGATAACCAATTTGAAACTTCAAGATTTACAACAGTTTAATGATTTGTCAAATCCAAAATTGTTGAATCAGAGTAAAAATTCATATTGTAACAAACTTTGAATATTGAAAAATGATAATAATTGTTTTTGATTTATTTTATTTTTGTTAACTAAATAATTTTCTTTTGTTCTTCTATTTTTAATATGAGCTTCTTTTTTCTTCTAATGCGCATGTTAAAACTTCAAAAAGTCAGATAGCTTTATTTTGGCGACTGTTTTTTTTTTTTCTGGATGTATTAGAATTTGTGTAAAACGATTGAAAATGAAACCTCACGTTCTAGTGAAATAAAGAAAGAATTGAAACATGAAAAAATCTGATAGACTAGCAAGATACCCATGTGAAAAAAAGTAACGATTAATGATGATTAAAAGTAAATTTAATGGCATTCATGTACGGTGTCATTGACAGACACGAATAGTTAATTAAAGTTTATGATCAAAAAAGTAAATAGAGAAAAATCTTGTGGAAAAAGTTCAGAATATTTTGTATTATTTTATACAGTTAAAGTTTTTTCATAGGATAATATCTAAAGTAAATTAAAAAGTAAGTTACGGTTTATCTAAAATATAATAAAAATTTAAAGAAACGAAGTCAGCTATTTCAAAAAAATACGTAGGTATACAGTAGACCAATGCATTTATGAGCAACGAAGATGATTTGGGGTAAATGATACGTATCACAGTTTAACGTTATTCCATTTTTGGAGAAAACAATCTTTTGAATTAATTAGGAATGGGTATTTTAGAGAAGCATGCAAAGTTCTGTCAGGCATACCCTCAACTATTCTGCTAGCATACATGTCCATATTGTAAACGGGTAACAACTTACTAAAGTTTAACTATTCCAACCACTATAATGACAATAAAGTCGGAACATGGCTCTGAGGCTTGATTTTATGTAAGTTAGAGTATAGTTTTCAATCCATTATGAGACTCGTCTTCTAGTTTAAGTAGAAGTACTGTGCCGATCACTAGGTAGTTTTCTCTTAGATGAAAGATCTCTCTACCTAGCATATCTTCAGAGTTCATCAGATGGACAGTCGGATGTGTTTTATTGTAGTGAAATTTTCAGCAACTGATAAAGTGGATTTTCCAGTTATTCTGAAAAAGGTTCAAACAGTAGTTCGTACGAAACACGACGCGTGAATGAAGCATGATAATATATTTCTTAAAATTCTAAGATACTGTAGAATTCTGTACTTTTCTGCTTATATTCTTTCTTGAGAAGAAAAGGTTATAATAACCATGTAAGTTTCAATTCATAGTACTCTCTCTCTTGTCATATATAGTCTAATAGAGCGAAGTGTTCTCTTCGTAATGAAACATCTTGCAAAAATTTTCAATAGTTTTTCGAGAAGATATGAGTACCGACGCAAATATCTATCTAATGTTACCAATTATGCTTGAAATGCTAATGGTTTCAACTGGAATACATTACGATCCCTTGAAAACGTCATTTGATCGGATCCAAACTTTGCCACATACACCTTTGTCACATACAAGTTTGCCACATATATCTCTGTTTGTTTTCGCTCGGAACTCGAGTTTTCAAAATCAAATTTACGTTTTCTTACCATTCTTTGTATATCTCGAGAAGAAAAAATCAGAGATATCGCCTCAGATACGTGTGAACAGATATAAAAGTTTTCAAAGGGTGGTAATTAATGTATCTCTTAAAATGTAAAAACTTATTACCTCTAAATGTTTCACTGAAGACGGCAAGTTTTTACTTTTTGGATATTCGAAGAAAAGTTTCACAGATTAAAGAAAAACATACAAATATGTACACACGTTTAAAGTTGCTTAGTTATGCTGATGCTAAAAAAAGTACAATGTTGCCCCACTTTAATGAGATCATACTGCTGTGTTTCTTCTCTATCCGAATACAGTGGCCATTTGTGACGTTTTATTATTCAACATTTTTTTAACCAAGAATAAAAGATAAAAGATAAACAAAAAACGAAGACAAACGCGCAAATTCGATTAGGTCGACATCATAGTAGTAATAATAATAATAGTTTATAATATATTAGTGTTACCATCAGTAGAGAAGACAATAAAAGAGAAAAACAGTAACAATAGGCAAAAAAAAGAAAAACATTCCTAACAGACCGAAAAAAAACGAGAACTGTACAGACTTAGAGAGATAGAGAGAAAATAAAATACACAACAAACTTTATTATTTGGTGTCCGACTAATTTATTAATGTTCAAATAAGCGGTCAATTGCACATACACAAATACACATGTTCTTTTTACACAGATCTCCGACAGATGAGAGAAGGTTCGACGCGTGTTCTAGTTGAGTGAATAGAGGAAAAAATAGCAACCAGTAAAAAAGACAGAGACAGGAAGAGAGAAAGAAAGAGAGAGAGAGAGAGAGAGATCATCACTTGAGAGACATGCTCATATCTTTTGCTCACATTGTTGCTCAAATAACACAAGAGAATAATAAAAATAAAAGCTTACACAATGATCGGTCTGATTGCTGAATATAACGTGTTAAATTACAGTAGTCAAAAAATTACAGTAATAAAAAAGAAAAACATTTCAGAGTCGTTGTAGATCCTTTTGCTTCTCAATAATAGAAGAAAAATAACAACAAACAAGCCAAGAAAAAAAAAAGAGAAAATAAATCATAAAAATACTGTAAAGGAAGGCCGCGGCATGAACACAAGGATTTTGCTATGCTATGGCCGAAAAGAAAAAACATTGGTGAACAAGTGAGAGAGAACAAAAGAGACAATAATAGCAGCTAACATGTCGCACGCATAACACTATGCCTTCCTCACATATTATATTACACACAAAAACAAAGTACATCAAATATACTAAAACCAAATAATAATTTTATGTATATTTATATTTTAGCAGGACAAAAGAACGAAAAGATAAAGAAATAAAACAAGCAAACAAACAAAATATCAAAGGCACCGAATATGTTGAAAATGGACATTGCGCTTCATCATTCACACATAACATATACATATACAAGATAAAATGGCCAGCTGTTTTAAAAAATACGAGTATTAGGGCCAAAATACAATTGTTGTCCATATGCGCTAAAATTGAAAATAAAACATAGTAGATTAAATTAAAAAAAAAGAAAATATATGTAAATATTCAAAATTTACCCTAATTGGTATTGATCAATTTCATTTTCATACTCCTTGCCAATAATTTGGAGGTATAGAATGATGCATGGGATCAATAAAGTTTGTATTACCATCTAAAGATGGTGATGGTGAAACAAGTGATTGTGCGCTAACATTTATACCACCACCACCACCGCCACCACCACCATTACTTCCATTTAAATCTTCTTTTTCTTCTTCACGTCGTCTTAAACAAGCTGCTTTAGGATTCAAATTACGTTCTAAATAATACAATAAATAGAGATTATAATATTATGTGATATTAAAAAATAACTTAAATACATGCAGCGATAATAAAAAAAAGAAGAAAATAAAAATATGTTAAAATAGGAACATGGTAGTGACGTTCATTTATTGTTTCCTACTCATTCATACATAATCATGCACGAGAAAAAAATCTTAATTTCTTAACAATCGACTATTTAACGTAATCTAATGTAAAAAGAAAAAAAAAAATTGCAAAACAAAACAAAAAGTATTTATTGTAAATATTTCGTTTCTTTATTTTCTACTCTTAAAGTACTTACCTCGAACTTGTTGTTCGAGATTTGTTATAACAGCGACCGCTAATAGATAATCAAAAATGATTTTATACTTATTTTAAATATACTGATAACTGAATAGATGAATTTTTTTTTTTCGAGAATCCTAATCTCACCTTGTTGCAGTATGGAAAGTTTAGTTTGTGGTCTATCTGTTTTTAGATGAATACTACACATTTGTCCGAGCTCTTTGAATGCATCATTTATATCGCGTACACGCAACCTAAAAACAAAATAATGACAAAAAAAAATAAAATTTTGTTTTAACTTTTATCAATAATCTTAAAATATACTTTGTGTTTTCTTATCTCAATTATGATAGATTCAAATAAGAGTTTAATTGCGCATCGTGAGAAGTCACAGAATATTATGCAAAAATGATAATAACAGAAGATGAATGAGAACAATTGAATGTTATTAACGTCAGTTCGTTTATCGATAAAAAAAAGGCAAAAAAGTAATAGAAGCACAAAAAAAAAAAGAGTAACTGAATAATTATTCTGCTTGCCTTAGAATGACTTAGAACATGATCAGATACATGAAATCATGACTAAATTAAATGATTAAGAACATGTTTAGTTTCTTCATTGTAAAAATATTTTAAGAAAAAAAAAATGTCGCAATGTAATTGTACGTAACAATTAAAATGCGTAAAATAAGTATGCATGAACGAAACAATAAAACAAAAAATGAACGTCGATTATTGTAGTATATTATCGTTAAAATTAGAAGACAATAGAATAGATGTTACTTTTATTTTCTTCTCTTTTTTTGTGATCATGTATTTTTTTTGTTTATTTGTTTATTAGTTAGTGAGATTAGTGAAAATTAGTTTTACCTCGGACTTGTTGTTCAAGAGACGTAATAAGATTAACAGCCTGTTGTAAAATTCCAAGTTTCGTAATGGGTTTATCATTTCTCATATGAATTGAGCACATTCTACCAAGTTCTTTAAAAGCGTCATTGATATCTCGTACACGAAGTCTAGAATATTAATGTTATAGTTTTGTTTTATTCATTTTTTTTTTTGTTTATAATTCAAGAGATTTTTTAATCATTATATTGTGTAACGGAACTGTTGTAATACATCATCAATGTGAACAAGAAATCAACAAGTAGAATAGAACAACAAAATAAGAAATCGGTAGGACAAAAGTTATCCAACATAACTAAAAAAAATATTTCTTAAAACCTATTTTCTATAGATTTCTTTTTTTTAATCCATCTGAATAGTTAATTAACTTGGAACATCATTGAATGATAACAGACAAGATAAATATATGTTATAAAAGAAAACATATGTTCATAAGGAGGACAGAGCATCGTGAGCAGTAATAACGCAACAGAAATATTTGAAATAATCTTACCTTTCTCTCGCATTATTGGCTGCGCGTCGATCTTTTTCTCGTCTCTCACGTTCTTCTGGACTTTCATTATCGTCAATACTCCCAGTTGAGCCGGGTCCTCTTGTTAGACATGATAAATTGTTTGGACTAGTGTTACAATTACTAAATATAAAGAAGGACTTTTGAACGTTACATACGAACAGCAATGTTAGATAAAGCATCTAACAAGTTAAAAACTCTTACAAAATACTTGAATAGTGAAACTAAACAAAATTCAAATGACAACTTACTTTTTTGATTTTGATGACGAAGAACTGGCTCCAATATTTGCTGCTACAGATCCAACTGAAATACTGAGAGGTGCAGAATTTTCTTGTGTAGCTCCAATATCAATTTGTTGTTGTCTACTAAAATCATCTAGTTTCTCATTATTAATAGCTGATGATGCAGAAGAAGATTGTTGAGATGGTGGTTTATTTTCAACATCCAATGATTTCGATGATAACTTCACTTTTTCTAAATTTTCAAGTTTAAGATCATTTGTTTCGATTGATGATGTTGATGATGTCGATGATGGATTTGCATCTATAGTCGAATAAGCTAAACGAATACAATAAAGATATATAAAATGTTGAGAATGAAATTTATTTCTACTTACAACTTGAATAGGTGTCAGCTGTTAGATTTTGACGACGATTTCTTAATTGTTGCTCATGTGACTGTAATGTTGACGTTGAAGGTGGTGGTGGAGGTGGCATTGAATTTGAAATTGGTGACGATGATAAATGTGGATTTAAAAATGCTGAATAAGCGGCACTGGAATGTTGTGGCTGTTGTAAATGATGCATGTTATAACCACCTGAGTGATGTTGATGTTGAATATGATGATAGTGATCGGATAAATGACTATTATTACGTAGAATATGCAATGAATCATCGACATCTTGGAGTCTTGGAGGCTAAAAAGATAATCGGTGAAAATAATCATGGTGAGAATAATAATTTTGAATTCACGCACGAAATAAAGAATAAAGCACCTTTTCCAAAAAATCAAACAACTAACCCATCACCTCATACGATTCTCCCTGTACAAACCTCTGTTAGATTGAGCAAAAAATACGGCTCATCTGTTGTATCGATTAGTGTTGCCTAAGATTATTAGCAGACATTCTTATCTAACCATGTTTATAAAACAGATAAAATTTTACATACAAGTGGATGCAGTTGATTTTGATATTGCTGTGACTGCTGAGATGCATTTGCCCATTGTTGACTAGATCCTAACGAGAAAAACAAAAATAAAGTATAAATCATCATTATTTAAAAACTAGAAACAAATACCGTTGAGTGGTGGTGTAGACGATGGTGTGGATGAATACGTATTACTGCTTGGAACATCATTTGGATAGATCTAAAAATAATAAAATTAACAATTCATTTGAATTATTAGAAAACATTTTTTTTCTTTTACATACAGATTGTAATGCTTTTCCTAATGCTTCTCCGGTTTGCACTGTTTGTTCCGTTCCATTTGAACCATATGTACCAGATCGAAAACTGGCCATGGGTGGTAAACAAGAATTGGATTCACTGAATTGTAAATGATTATCGTTTGGTAAATAATTAGAAGGTGTTGGCATTCCATTAATCCAAGATGGATTTTGATTATCTAAAATAAATAGAAAATAAAAGAACAGTCATATTAAAAAAGAAATTCAATTTTATAATCATACCAATATAATAAGGTGACTCATTTGTACCACCATACAAAGATTTTGTTGGATAGCGTACATTTTCTGGATTATAATCGTCAGTCGAATAGACCTAAATAAAAATACAAAAAATAAAAGAATATAGTAAGTAAACATTGGAAAATTTTTTCATAACTTAAATTTGTAATTTTTATTAGTTATAAGTGCGTATTTACAATTGAGCATACAAATATGTGCAAGTTTACCATATATGTCATATTTCTTCTATTAATTATGGAATAATGATTATATAATCAATGTTAGATATAGGAATAAGTCTCGATTTATTGTTTTTATTAACCTCATATGTAAACGTTTATTCAATCATTTATTAGAATATATAAAAATCTTTCTGATGATATCATCTCAAGTACAATGCAATGTTACAGACAAAATCAATCAAAACATCTATATTAATTATTTCGTAGTGACATTTGTCAGTAATTGAAATAGAAAAACATCATACGTATGCACTTTGTATTAAAACAACAACAACATCATCATCATTATCGTCATCTTAGATATATATGTTGTAACATATTTTAATTTGAGGCGCACTTATAAAGAACTTTTCTTTTTTTTTCTTTTTTATACAAAAAAAAGTCAGTTATTCATATATTTTATAACCTTGTCAAACACATATAGTCAACCGCTTATTGATGAGCTCTCTCATTTTCTAAACACAATAATTTCATTTTAAACAAAATTTTCATTTTCTTTTTTTTTAGATGTTTTGTAACGGTTTCATTTGAACACAGCATGTCTCGATCTTCAATGTTTAGATAGAAAAAGAGAATCTACAAAAATGCTTGCTTGTTTGCCAGCATGTGTGTGATAGATATGCATACATCATCATCCATACAACATATAAAGAGATTAAACATGACCTCATTCATAAACACATCAGAGATAAAAGAGAATAAATGACGATAACTACGATATTTATAAGATTAAATTAATATGTTAAGATTTTTTAAAAAAATCAATCGATATCATCCTAAATATACTTTTGTCTCATAATGTTTAAATATGTAACTAGCTAGTAGATCCTTTATTTAGATTTTGAATTGTGTCCAAAGTCTTTTTTCGGTACATTTCATTTGACTTGAACGTCGATTAGGATAGCTCGTGTAGTTAAAAAATGTCTTTTCTTTTTTTTTTTTTCAATTATCAACCTAGTGATAAACAGATGCTGACTGCGAAACTCGTTAAAAGGATTACATCTTTTTTTTTTCTCCTATCGTACGTTAAGATTACAATCATCAAAATAAACTTTTTCATTGAGTTTAGCTAATCATGATGATGAAATGTTTTTCTTCTATTTTCCTATTCTCTCTCTCTCCATGATATCAAAGAAAAAAAAATCTATCTATACAATATTTAAGATTATACTTATTATCCTTATCTATACATTTATTTGGATATCAGACATTTTTTTTTTTTTTGCTCTAGAATAAGAAAAACTATCATACTGTGAATTAGAGTTTAATTAACAGAAGTAGTTTCAATTATACTACTGACATATTCTGTGAGACATAAAAAAATATCCGTATGGGCTATCGTTTTCTTGTACAATACGTAACAGTATCTATCTAAAATCAAATTTGTCCGATTTATGATCAATTGTTTCTTCTTTTTTTTTTCTTCTTTTGGTCTTCTGTTAGCAAATATACAATGTGTTAATCACATTTGACACTTGAAAAATACCAAGTTATAAGGTATAATGTGTTCTAATCTGAACAAATTGTAAAAATTGAAATGTGGATATAACCTCGTAGACCCGATCTATTTTGATTCGGGATATGAAAGCATTAAAACAAGAAAAGAGAAAAGAAAATGAATGAACAAAAAAAAAGAACATCTCAAGTCTCTTGTACAATTAACAGTAGATAAATTTGATCTCAAACAAAACTACTTCAACGTGTTGATGACCTCGATTAATCGCTAGGTAAAGTGCACATCAGAACAACTCAAAGTCATAAAAATTGTATAAGAAAAAGTTAGATCTTTCAATTTTGTGGCTAATTTTTATTTTAGAGTCTTCTTAAAATCTTATTGTCATAATTAAATAAGTTCATATACTCTTCATTTTATCTTATTATGTTTGATTTTATCTCTATGACTAAAAAAATTTTCATTTTCAAACAATTTATGATATCTTTCTAACGATCATGACGAGTCAATGACATCTATCATTTAATAATCGCCTCAAAACATCTTAACTTTAAAATGGTTTATCATAATCTTTCACTGGAAGTAATCAGACTAGTCATCTTCACAATTCATATAACTGCCGATAGAACTATTTGTTCTTAATACTTAAAATAAAAGCTTGATAATCAAATCTTTTTGTTAGTAGTAATAGCATAAAATATTGAGAACTAGTGTAAGTACAATATATCAATAAAAATCGTTTATTATGTTAGTTTGTATTAATAAAAAAATAAATACGGTGTTATTGTTGTTCAGAAAGCAAGAAGCCAATAAATATAGTCATTTTAAATGTTAATAATAAAGCTGTTAAAGATATTTATTTATTTTTTGTTTTTTTAGCAAGCAAAATTGTTTGCAAGCACGCGTGCTCATGCGCTGTTCAAAAGCATTAGAAATATAATAGATTATTATTATTAGAAATTGATGTGTATGTGTGTTTTTTTTTGTTTCTTTTTTTTTTTGTGTTTTACTTGTTACCCCTCATGCACTAGAACCATGATCATAGCTGACTTTCGATTTTCTAAAATTGATAACAATAGTTCTTTAATTAGAAAGTTTTAAGTAAGTTCAAATTGAAATTATTACTCAATTATATTTTGTTTCATTTGTATGTATGTGTTTTCAATTTCCAATACGATCTCACTTATTTCTGTACATACAGAAAAACACACACTTCATCATCAAAACTTGACAAGCGATCGACAAAACAACAAAAAGGCCGAGTTTTTTCATGATGGTAAAGATAGATAAACTAGTTAGCAGAGAACAACGACAATTGTATATATCAACAGTAAAACTAAACGTATGTACATATAGATAAAGTCTGAATAGAGAAAAGAATATCATTCACGGACAAAAATTGTAAAAAAAAAAAAGAAATTCTTATACTTTTAGCTTTTTTTTTAAAATATGTTCGTTTTGCTAATTACAATCTACCGTTATTCTACAACAAGAATAAAGAGTTTTGATCGAAAAATATTCAAAGTTTTGCCATCAACATTAGACATTTTCTTCTTACATAACTAACAAATCGATTGTGACTTATTTTCATGAAAATATCATCTGCTTTTTTGTTTTGTTTTATGTTCAAATTACATAAAAAGCAGGAGAAAATAGGCCAAAAGCATGAGACAAAACGGGTTCATCCCGAAGCAAGAATAAAATAAAATTGTAGAAAAGTTTTTTTTTTTACCTGATAATATGGTCTAGCGTAATAAAAAAAAACATAAAAATATATTCTCGTTTTTTTTTTTTTTTTTTTTTTTCTAGATCAACTGCCACTTGAAAATATAATCATTTAATCCGTTAGACAAATAATAGATAAGTTTTAATTTTTTTCTTTTGTTTTTTTTTAGTGGAAAATCATCACATATTAACTTCTAAAGGTCAAAATATTGTTGTACATATCTAGTAGCAGCAACAACCGACAACGTAAAAAATACTTTGATTATTAAAATAAAAAAGTACAAGAGACAAGTTGATAGATTCTCTTCCAAAAAAAAAAAAGAAAAAAAAAAAAAAGGAAAAGAAATTGACTTATAATTGTTGCGTCAAATACAGGAATAAAAAAAAAGTCAAAGTGATATGTATCAGGAAAAAGTATTTAGACGTTTATTGAGAGATATCTTTATCAACAAGTAGAGAAATGCTAATAGAGAAAGAGAGAAAAGAAAGAGAACTGGACGAAAAGTGAAGGTGAGAAATGAATGATGATAATGATGGCATACACGATGGAAGAGAAGAAGAAAAATGAACAAAGAAAAGTTTCTCCTCTTTTGATATAAAAATAGAGATATATATATATATATTTAGAGAGAGAGGCAAGGGTCTCTCATATACAATTTTTTTTTTGTTTTGTAAAAAAAGAATAAGAGAGATCAAGAATAAGAGGGATCATACCCCTAGAATATGACAAAGAAGAGAGAGAAGAACAATAAAGAAGAGATTTTGAAAGAGTCTTCTTAGTCGTATGTGTTTGATATGGACAATTCAATATCATAATAGACTCTTTGAGAGAGAGAGAGAGAGAGAGAGAGACGAATATTGTACATCACACGTAATCGTAAGAACGTGTTAGAAAAATAAAAGACAAGTAAAAAAGAGAGAATATCAATCGTATGTGTAGTATTTCTATGTCGGAGAAAAAGAAAAAGACTAATTTATTGGACACAATAGTAGTGATTAATATTAAAAGCATCATTAAATCAGAAGAAAAGACATTTATTTATTATTTAAACTAAAAGAGATATTTTAGTGATCAATCCCAAAGATAACAGAACACGTGATCCATTCATTCATTCATGTCATTAATTCACTATCTACGTTACACTAGTTAAGGAAAATGATAGTACGATGAAAAACTTTTAAAAAAAGACAAAATTCAAGACGTTTGACCTCATTGATAAAACAAAACTTTTTAAATAAACTGGCAATAATAAATAAAATGGAGAATGGATAATGTAAAAATATAAATTTTATACTATAGATATAAGAAGAGTAGAAATTTAACTTTTTAGTAAAAAAATAACATGGCAAAGTTCATTGGATCAATAAGATTTTCTATATATATATATATATATATATATATGTATTCTCGTTTTATACAAGTGAATGTGAGAGTGACATTGATAAAAACAATTGTCACAACTATTTTTAAGTAAAAAACAAAAGTTTAACTTTTGGCAGACTTCCGCATATGTCACATCCGAAAGGCGATTATTATTTTATCATCAAAGTCTATAATGTAACAGTTTATTAGATTCTGATTGAAAAACAAAACGAAATATAATGGCCTTGTTTTTTTGTTCTTCTTTGTATTCGCCCCTCCAATTTTTCTCTTTATAGAACAATAAATTTGTTTTTGGGCTTGTCATATTTCTTCTTCTGTCTTTCTTTATTATTATTATTATTATTTTTTTTTTTTATTTCTTATCATTTATCATTCGTTAACGCGTAACAAACGATTAACAAAGCAATAGGATATGTATTATCACATCTCATTCGTTGTCGTTGTCTTCGTCTTATTCTTGATCATTATTGCATTGTTTATCATTGTATTATTAGGAACTTTTTCTTTTTTGTCTCTATTTATATCAAGAAACAACATATACACAATAGAAACGAGTCCTCTATATTCATATTCGATTCGCAATGTTAACTCGAATAGTATTGATAGAAATACAGCTGGAAAACCCGTTTTTCTTCTTTTATGATTAAGATAAACATAAATTCTTATGAATAAATGATTTTTTTTTGTTTTCGGTCTAGTTCAAACGATCAATATTAACGATTAATATTAAAGAATTTTCTTGTTATTATTCTTATTTCTAACGATTTTAACAAAATGTCAACAGTTCACACTAGTGTCCAAATAGAGATACTTTTCGAATGAAAGTGTAATAAATATTTTTCTAAATTTATCATATCATTTAAAGAAATGGTAAAAATATAATTTCATTTCAGAACAAATTTTTTAACTAAACTTTCTCACTTATTTTAATAATTGTCTTATAATTAGAAAAAAATATAAATGAAAACCTAAGAATACACTTCTTCTTTCATTTAAAAAAAAAAAATGAATAATCATATCACACAATAATAGATAGATAACTGCTTATCATTTTTACTATTCAGGATAAAAATAAAATATCTAATTTTAACATTTTTTCTATAAATAATATACACATACATATACACACATCTCTCATCATTTTTACAAGTTAATTGAGTACACCGAGAGAAAGGCATCACTTATCTACATAATTCATAATAACATATATTTTATCATTGTTATTCATTCTGAAATGCGAAGACTTTTGTAGACAATAATAATAATAATAATAAATTGATAATAAAGATAATCTGAACTTAATATAACTCAATAGGCTTTATCACGACAAGAAAATGATTCACACTATCTATGACATTAGTTCATCTTAAAATCTATACAAAATCCTTCGAAGGATATAATTTATGTTTTATGCTATAAAATCGATAAGAGAAGAAGAAAAATAATAATAATAATAATAATCATAGTCATACTCTAGCACTATTTTATTGTAATAAATCTACAATATTGTACAATATAATGGAAATAATCAAACTATGTACTAAAAAATGAATATCATTTGCCTATATAACAAATGTTTCTCTTATTTCAATAAAAATATCTAATTTTTTTAATTATTTCCTTAGAGACAAATATCTGTTTATTGTCAAAAACAGAGTTCTATTTATTTTTTTTCAACAAAAACTTGTTAATTCTTTTTTTTTGAAAAAAATCTCACAGTAATTTAACATGAGATATATATGATAGAGTAAATTAAGATTTGACTTAAAATAATCTAGACTATTGTATCTATTTCGAAAATAGAAAAAAATAAAATTTTTCCAAATGTCAATGATTTTGTTCCTCTTCATATGTAGAAGAATTTTTCTTTTTGCCAATTTATCCAATATCTCATTTAACATCCTTTATTTTAAACTTCTTTTTATACTATATTTTTCTTTTAACAATGAATATAAATTTTGAATATTTATATACATATATATTTAAATTTATTTCCACTTTTTTTTTTCTCCTTCTCCTATAATGAGAGTATGATAGATTCTATGAATCAAAAAAAGGAAACTTTTGATGTCACAGCTGTTTTTTATGTCGTGTGTAATATTAATAATTTCATTCATGCACAGTAGACCTTCGCCAGATACACACAAAACAACGATCAATTTCAACAACAAAAAAAAAATTGATTAAACAGGGAAGAATAAAAAAAAAAGAAAAAAAAATAAACGTTCTCTTTTTTCTCAAGTTTTGAACTAAGTAAGTGGAAACATTTTTGTCCATGTTAACTCATTGTAAAAAAAAGAAAAACGCGTCTATTTATCTATTATCGTAGATAACGGATATGTATACGATAAAATGACAAATTAGGGTTTATAAAAAAAGTATACACATATATATGTTGTGTGTGTGTGTGTGTGTATGTACATACATAGATAAAATAGTATCGTGATAGATACGACGATTATACTTGAACAGTAGTGTTACACATCATGTATACCATAGAACTCTTCCAATGACACATGAAATGTTAAGAAGTTTCTTTTCAATGACGGATAATAGAGGAATGAGAAGAGAGAGAGAGAACGTTTAGTTCCATAAAAGTGTGTATATATATATATATATATATATATTGAAAGTTGAACAACTGTTCAATAGTTTCCTTCTATTCACAATAAAAAAATGAATATCTGTATGTATATATCATAGACAATCTTTGTCTCAATACAAAATGAAGATAATTGTACTCAAAAGAGAGATGATAACAACAACTTCCTTTTCTATGTTATGTTCCAATTTTGTAAAAAAAAAAAAGAAACGAACTAGTACTATAGTTAATTCAGATTTAATGTTACAGTTTAAGTACTCTATTTCAATCGACCAATAACAACAACAATTTTTCTCAATTAATCATAATACAAATTAGTAGTAAGTAGTTACAAGTAACAAATTTTGACAGTAAAAATGTGTTATTTCAAGAGAATTCTTTTTTTTTTACAAAAAAACAGTGACAAATAATTATATCAATTATTCATACGTCAATTAAACGTCATAAACAGATAAAGATAAATTACATTGACTTCAAAAATGAAATAAAGATATCTACATCAAGATGACAAAGAAAATAATTTATATTTTAGAATAGATTCCAACTCTCCTTCAGAATAATCGGAATAAATAAACTTCTCAGTTTGATATGTTAATTAATTAAAAAAAATAGAAAATAAAACACGTACAACAAACAGATGAAGTTCAATAACTTTTTTTTTCTTTTTCTTCTTCTTCTTTCTTAACTGTTAAACTCAGATTACTTAGAAAAAAAAATGTTATCACACGTACATGCAACATATATCTCGACATTAACAAACGTTATCTCGTCTCTTTTAATCAAATTACAATTACTTCAGTTAGTGATGACTGGAAAAGAAAAAAATTCAATTCACTGTCTCAAACAAAATACAACTAGATGCTCATGTCAAACTGAATGCTCCAGTTTATCACTTTAAATATTAAAACAAACGGAAGTTAAAAAATATCTTACCGAATATGATTCGTAACCACAACCATAATCTACCATTGCCATATTATATCTGCGTACGTGTGTATATATATATATAATGATTTTTAATATATTTTTAGAATAAATACAAATTTTTAATCACATGTTTCATTTTATATCCTCAAAAATTGAAAATTGTCAAGAGAAGATAATGAGAAACGAAGAACTGATTAGATAAAAAAACAAAAAAAATAGTGTCGATTTGAGAAAACTTGAATAAACAAACTACTGTTTTTGTTTTTTTTGTTCGTCTCTTATCGACGCGTGTCCTTTCAATAGAGGTGCTTGTTTCTCGAAACAAAAAAATACTAATAATTTGCTTTTTCTTAACATTACTTTTTTCATTTCATGTTTTCTATCGAATTTTCTCATCGTCAATATAGAGAGACTAATCAACATAGCATCTATGTTAAATTTCTTCCTTTTTTTTCTTCTTCTCTTCTTCCTTCACATAATTTTCATTTGAACGTCAATATATCTAAACTTTCGAAATGATATTTGAACGAAGCTGCCGAAAAAAAAAAATAAAATGAAAAAAAGTTAAACAAGAACGATTCGTGTTCTATCTCAGTAACCAACGGAATTGGCTATCTCATATCACTAAAGATATAAAACAAAAAAAAAAAACAGAAAAAAATAAAATGCAATATCTTTTCAGAGAACGAAAAGAATACATTTTCAAAACGATCGAGTTTTTAAAAATATTTCTTAAATACGACTAAAAGTTTGGAAAATCTACAACTCAGCACATTTTCATCAAATTAACTAAAATAATTTCACTATTTAAATCGACGGAAAGAATATTATTGTGTTTATCACTAATGGTTTCGATAGAAAGTGTATGATTCGAGAAAGAAAAAGATTGAATTAATTGGTTAATACAACAGTATCTGTGACTTTTCTCACTTCATCGCAGTCTTACCGACGAGAAAAGACAACTGAAACTCTTTGAGATTTTAGATATTACTCTGGACAAGAAGCTACTCAAACGACTTAAAAACGATCGTAGATTGAATATGAATAGAAAGTACTATCTCAAAACTCTGCTATTTCAAATATTAAAAAAAAAAAGAAAGAAGCAAAATCTAAAGCTGACTGACATCTCGTGCTATACTCCTGTCAAGTGAAAAAAGAAAAAAAAGAAAGAAAAGTGTTGATTTAAAACAGATCATCATCTCATTAAGTTCAAGTAAAATGTCTATAAATTCATAATTTATTTTAATTTTAGCAAAAGAAAACTCAAACACGATATATTGTTGACAGTAATTAAGAAAGTGGATCTAATTGAATATGCACCATTATACTTTGTATACTAGCATGTAGAACAGAAAAAAAAAGAAAAACACTGAAGAAAATGACGTTTAACGAATACGATATAAAAATTAAAAATGTTCACTAGAAAATCCTTGAATTTTAACTTTTAGCTTAAATGAAGTAATCGTATTTTTGCAGAGTATATGAATACGTGTATAAGATAGAATGAAATACAAACGAAATGAATCAACATGCTATATCAAATATTCAAATCGATTAGACATATTTCTTGATAGTTGAACTTAGAACAATCTCTTGTACAAAACTAGTACATTCATGAATAGAAAATGCTTCATTTGTATTCAAATAGTGCGTTATTTACAATGGTTCTTTTTTTGCTATGCAATAGAAACGCTCTTATAGAAGATTTAAGTTGATAACATTATCTATGGACAAGAATCTTGTTGATAAATATAACTTACTATGGAAGTTCGTCGTTTTTTATCATCTAATTTTTCTAAAAATAAAAATAATTTGATAAACAAAATTGAAACAAGAAAATGACAAATAATTTCTTACCTGAATATTGTAAATCTGAAGATTTTCGCGAGGACTAAGAAAAACATTTAAGTGAAAAAACAACAATTCTTAGTTAATTCTTTTTTTCATAGATCAACGATCATCCTTACCTGATTAGGAATGGTACTGGAGGCATAATCACTGCTTCTATCTAAAAACACAGATCACATATTGTCACATATCCATTCAAATGGTACTTTATTTTCTATATGACAAATATAATCTTTATATAATTTTTTCTGTCACTATTCGTAAAAGAGTACTTTTTTTTAAAATACTTTCAGTTCTCAAAATGATGCTACTTCATTAGTTCGAAAGAGTGATTGCAACAAATATGAACGTTTAACATTTCCTGATAACCAGAGATGCAGAATCTACCTGTGAGATTGGAAAATTTCTCTCGATGAAAAAAAATTTCGCGACATAATCCACGAACAGTATTTGCAAAAAAATTCAAATTTTTCAAACATTCCCCCCCGAATCAATACGTTTCTCGTCGAAGCAAACAGGCTGATTTAACATTTGACGAAAAATATGTCATACTTAGTGGTTCGGATGTTATAAATGGATGTAAAATGTCTCGATTACTAAATCCTCCATCGTATATCTAAAAATCAAACAAAAAGACAAATACAATAAAATTTACTATTGACAAATAAAAGATGTATATTTACCCCATCATCATACGCAGAATTGAGTGCTCCACTCCAAAAATCAGGAACTATAATAGAAAAGAAAGCGTGATCAATTTCGCGAATTTTTAGAAAAAAAAAAATAGCAACGATCACAAACCTTTTGTTCCATTTGTAGAATAAAGCACCTCGGAATTTGTATTACCGGGATGCATATTAGCACCATGATAGTTCACTGTAGAGCACAACATCTATATGACGAACATAAAAATAAAACAATAATATAACTCAAATAACATCAAATAACACACAAATGCACAAAGTAAACATGCGCAAAGTGGAAAAAACATGCAACTACAAAATTGCTATTATTTTTCTCGAAATTAGTCGGTGTAAAAATGTGACCAGCATGCACACGTTGTGAACAAAAACAAAAAAGATGAAAACGATAGAATAATTTTAAAAAAAAGTACCGAAGAAATTCTTGTTGAATTCTGATCATGTGAAGCAGTTAAACGAGTACGATGTTTCACCTGAATTGAAATATTTTATATGAATAATTTTTGAAATAAATAAAGAACTAAAAATAGTTTATTATTTAGTCTTGACTACTTACAGCATTGAGATCCAGTAAATCATTGAGTTCTTTATCATTGTGTAAACTCATTATGGTCGGCTAACAAATTAAATCTGAAAATAAATAATAGAAAAGAAAAAACATTGAAATCAATTTGTTTCGAATGATTTTCTTGAAAAATGTTAAAATGTAAATAGTTCTGAGTATAAAAGAAGGCTAATCTCTAGATTTCGAATGTTTCTTTCCGAATTATGGAAAGATATTAGATACAGTGTATCGGAGATTCAGAATAAACTACTATGGCCAAATCATTCGACTTTTTTAATTTTTGCTAGAGATCATAGAAACGCTGATTTTCGACATGATCCTTTAACGATAAAAGACCAATAACTATTAGGTCTTTTAAAGAACTTTTTTCTTCAATAATTGAGATTTAGATAATAAAACAAAAAATTTAAGAATTTCGGATTATCAGTCTTTCACTTTATGTCCTCCAATTTTTCCGAAAAAATGAAAATGCAGATCATACAAAAACACCTACGCCGTCGATTATGCTTAAAAAACAAAAAGCTCCTGGATCTTCCCGTTTTTTGTGACACTCCCTAGGAAGCCTTCCATACTATACTACCCACACATTTTTTATGCTATACCACCACATACTAAATATGAAACCAATTTTTCAAAGAAAAAAAAATTTAACTTTTTCTTCCACGACATGAACAGTCATGGACAACACTGTCATTCTATCCCTATTTCATATCATACGCAAACAGAAAAATGAAGCGAATATTTATTAATATTTCGCAGAAAATACTCTGTTGATTATAAAATAATCGATTGCCATTCCTGAATAGTATTTAAAATTATAATTCGAAGTTTACATCATGGCTTTTATCGCTGAATGGCGAAATTATTCTAAATCTGTCATAATTACAGTAATTTTAGCAAAAAATGACTTTCTGATATATTTCCGATTTTGAATGGTCTCATTCTGAGCTGTAGCCTTTATCAATTAGTAATCATTGAATAAACGCAAACATTAGTGAGAAGGAAATTTTATTTCACAAATTATAGTGCCAAACCAGAAAATGGTCACTGGTAGTAAAATGCTATCTCCCACTAACGCGCTATTGAATTCTTCATTTCGCTACGTATTTAGAGAAGTGTTCTTAGATGCTGCATCTATAAGAAAATTCCCAAAACTTAAATTAATTAAATGTTAGCAGCAATGAATTAAATAATGTGTGATTTTTAGAGATCACAGATGAGAGCAGTTTTTTTGGACAGAAGTTATTTACAAAGCGTATATTCGTATTTTAGTCTATTTTCTACAGCGTAGATATGTTGAAGCAAAGTAGAAACCCAATTTTTAAAGTGTATGTATACTGTGCTCCGCATAATAGATTTTGTCATTAAAAATTCTATGGAGAGTATATTCATCTCACACTAACTCGGGTAATAACCTACATGTCACAAGCACAACTCACTAACATCTTATTGTCGTCTACACATATAGAAATAAATAAAAAAACGATTTAAGAAAGCAGAAGAATAAAGAACTCATTACTGACACTGACTTGAATAACAACATGAATTTGGATTCGCCGATTATTTTCAGCAATGAAATAATAATATCAACATCATTCTAAAGGTTTTACACATTGTGCCATCAAGATGGTATTGAATGCAAAGATGGCGATAAGGAAATAAAATAGATTTTCGGTTCAATAAAGAAAATTTTGGATCTAATTGTGTTTTAAGCAAAAGCTCAAGTGATAGTGCTCATTGCAGGAAGGAACAGTGAACACCTATTTATATGATGAAGCACAATAATGTTAAGGCGAATCAAGAAGCGACCAAAGATGGTGTTGGTAGACGAGCAGAGATGATATTAATACAAAGCAAAAGAATGTGAAACATTTTTTCTATCAGTCATAGTTTTCAAGGACACTAGTAAGATTCGATCTTTCAAAAAAGAGCATATCCGATATCCAAAAGAAATCATTCACTTTGTAGAGATCTTAAAACTATCTTCGATTGGGTCTCCGGTTTGAGAGGGAAACGGCGTTCTTAACCAATCCTTACATTTCAATTCCAAAGAAAGAAAAAATTGAAAGATTTACATGTACGGTATACCCATGTTTTGTAGAAGCAATGGTGTAATATTTTTCCAAGAAATTTGACCGTTGATTCGCTTGCAAAAACTAGATGTTCACATGAGAAAATCTATTTAATTGGTTGTTTTTCGTGTCAAGAGTTGTAAGTTCAAGAATCGATGGAATACTAAGCGTTGTTTCATAAATATTCTTAAATTCATGAACGTAGGTGCAGACTTAAGCCAACATTGAGTTGATTTAGTGCATCGTTACGGAGCATTGGTTTAAGACAATTCTAGAGGTGTTTCCAGTGAATTCTCAAGCTAAGACAGGCGTAACAAGTGTGTGTGTGTGAATGTAACCCCCATTCTACTTTCAAATATCTTTTATTTTTCCTCCAGCAAAATGTTTTCTTGAAATATAAAACTGACACTCTGCAAAAAGCAAACTCGTGAACCATTTAGATAAATTGATATAAAGTGCGCAGCAATTTGATGAATGGCAATATCAGCTGCTCAGTAGTATATACAGAGTACACCATTTATCTTATCGCTTGGCCGCAGACTATATAAATGCATGAAACATCACCACATTTTAATTCAAATTCAATCAACTTGTCATCGAAGAAAACAAAAACATCAGAAATTGTGCCCGTTTCTATATACAATGTGAAAATGTTCGCTGAAAAATTTGTTTATTTTTCTGACGGGATTCAGTGAAAAAAAATCAGTTTTTTAAAAGTCCAGGGGGAACCGGTCCCCCCCCATCCTTCCTCTCTGACTACGGCCCTAATCACGATTCATGATGTTAAGACAAGCTTAAGCCAATGTTGAACTAAGATTGCTAAGTAGACATTTAGATTTGAGAACCACTTAAGAAAGATGGTGGATATAGACAGATTTTCCGCTGAAAGTGCATTTGCAGAAAATTAGCTAGTATGTAATATTTTTGCGAGAATTGTTAGAAAAGATGGCTTAACTCATTGTTAAACTTAAAGAAACAGTATGAAATCAAAAATTCAATGGTTGCGGCATTGAAATTTGTCAGTGCTAAAGAATGTTGATGAAATGACACACATGTGGCACCGCTCACTTCAGAGAAGATAATATCACTCAGGTCATAAAATTTATGTAAAGTTCAGATTTACCATTTCATAAAACGTCACATTATCGTTTAAGCTATCAGAAAACACCCCGCAAAGGACCTCTTCGATACTTGATTCTTTGATGAGATGATAGCCGTTGTTTTCCGAGCTGTTCTTGTTTTTTTTCATCCATAATCGACATATATACTATTTTTCACTTCCTATTTTTTCAGCTTCTCATAAAATGTAACTTATCTCACTTTTTAGATTTATTTTTCTAACTAATTTTGGTTGAGACAATGTTTTATCTTATTACCACATTTATGCCATATTAATGACTCGAAATATGCAACATGAGTGGTCTCCACATTCATGTTATTTCTGCAAGAACCAAGAGCCATTTAAGGTAGAACGAAAACATTGGTAATATCATAAATTTGCGTCATACTTGTTTTTATCTATTTAGAATTATCAAAAATACGAGTTAATTGGACAAGGCGGCTTTGCAAAAGTTTATCGTGGTAAACGATTATGTGACAACTACGATATTGCTCTCAAAATAGTAAGTGCGTCTCTAGCTTATACTTTCATTCGAGACTCTCTTCTTTTGAATAGTATTGTTACTTTAGATCGATAAACATCAATTGAAACTTAAGAATGCTCAATCGCGTGTGAACGAAGAAGTTCAAATTCATTATACGCTTCGAAATCCACTAGTCGTACAAGTAAATATTCTTATTATTGTCTCTGTTGGAATAAATATTCTTTTTAACATTTTTGTTCTAGTTATTGGAGGTGTTTGAAGACGAAAGTGAAATATGTTTAATACTTGAACTCTGTGCATGCGATATGCAGAATTATCTTAATTCTAGACAAACTTTTACAGAAGATGAAAGTAAGCATTAATTCCTGTCTTTTCTGGAAAAAATGACTCCTTAATCGGTATCTTGAATAAATGCAAAAGGATTGTCTACATCGGAAACCATTCCTTGTTTATTTCTTTACTTTTAGCTCGTCATTATATGAGACAAATTATTAGGGGCGTACAATTTCTTCATCAACATAATATTCTGCATCGCGATCTAAAATTACATAATTTGCTTCTGACAAAGAAAAACAATGTGGTAAGTTGTTTGTCGCCATTCTCCAAGACCATCATATTCGAATCTTTCTTATTAGAAAATAGCTGACTTTGGTTTGGCAAAAAAGCTTGTAACTTCTGCGCAAACAAATTATACAATGGTATAGTTCACTATCTTATATGTATCTATTTAGTTAAGGAATTCTTCTTTCGTCTTTTAGGTCGGCACTCCAAACTTTTTGGCTCCGTAAGTGCAGTGTAACATCGAATTATCCTCTTATATTGTGCCTTCTACTTGCAGAGAAATTGCAACCAGAAAAACGCATAGTTTTGAGGCCGATATTTGGTCTTTGGGAGTATTGACTTACCAATGTCTAGTAGGTAAACCTCCATTCGATGATCATGGTAAGTTAATTATAAAACGATGATATTATTTGATTAGAAAAGTAATAGACTCTTTCTTATTTAGATGTGCTATCAACATTAAAACGTGTGGCTAGTGTATCTTATGAATTGCCGCATGAGTTGAGTTTTGAAGCAAAAGATTTAATTTGTAAAATATTACAAAAAGATACAAAGAAGAGGTTAACCTTATTACGTAAGCTATGATGAATAATTTCATATAACAAACGGAGTGTGAAAGTGTCTATTCTATCCTTTAGAAATTATCAATCATCCGTTTTTCTTAGTGAAAGAACATTCAGTTCACAGTATTACAGTAAACATTCATCTCAAAATGAAATTCTAGTTCTGTTTCATTAACATTTTCATTTTATTTTAGTCATTAAAAAAGAATATGTCAACCGACAGTGATATTAGTTTGTCGCCGTCATTGTTGAGACCATCTAGTTTTCAACGACCATATTATTCTAATACATCGGGAATTTCTGTGTATGTTTTATGTCAGACTTTTTTTTTCAACATTAAAATTTGTATGTGATTAAGTACTAGACTCTAACATAAAAATCCGATGAGTATAATTCTCAATAAATAATTAAAAAATTAATGAAAATGTTTACAATTTTTTTGTTTATAGTTCTTTAAATCAGCATCAATCTCAGTCTCTAGCAACAATGAATAGTTCATCACATTCGTCAAAATTAAATACGTTACTACCACCATTACATTTAACTAAAACTCAGAGCAAGTAAAGTATACTTGTATAGCAATCAGTTTAGAATATTATTTACTTGTTTTTTTCATTTTATTTTAGTCTTAGTCATAATAGTAAAAAGAATATTCACAATGTTCTAGTTAAATTAAATACACAAAGATTAGATAGTCGACATGTGACAACAAAAAATAACATTGTATAAATTATTTAGTATAATACATTTAAATTAGTCAATTTATATATCATTTATTTTTTTAGTTAGATATATTATCCAATGGTGAAGTAGTTATTCAACATATAGTCGATTCAAAGGGTACAAAACGAGTTGTGGACATATTTCGTGTATCAGCTAATGGAGAAAAAGTATTTATTATCTTTCAACCATTGTTTTTTCTTCTATCTTTGACATTCATAGCATTTAGATAATTAATTATCGACCAGATAAACATCATTATAGTTCATGCTTCGAAAATATTGAACAATTATCGCTGCCAGATAATTATGAGGAATTTACATTTGATAATTTACCAGAAAAACTATGGCATAAATATCAGCGCGCATTAAAGTGTGTTATTATGAAGAAAATGTGTTCTATTATTTTTTTACTCGTCTCTATCTTTTATAATTATAGATTTGTTAATATCATTCGTTCTCTAAGATCTAAAATTATTATGTTTACAAAAGATACAAAATGTCGATTAATGGAGACAACAATTGAATTTGATGTAATATTTTATAATTAATTTATCACAATTTAATTTTATGTTGTTTTTACGCTATTCAGGTATTATTCTATGCAAATGATGCAAAAATATCAATTTATAGAAAAAATTTGGATGACATTAATTCACCATTAGAAATTAAATATGTTGATGGTAAAGTGACATCGACCTTAATGTACGATGACGTCGTTCAATCATCCGTCGATCAATTAAATATATCAACTGAAACAAAACAAATGATTGATAAAGCGATCAAGGTATGACTTTTATTCGTGAAACTAAGGAAACTATTTTTTTTTTCGAGAATTTATTGCAAATAAAGTTTGACTTTTTTCAGACTTCTTACGTCAATATCGAGAAAACTTGCGTGATTTTCGAGAAACAGCTTTAACACATTTTTATGTGGATCACAGTTTTCCTTTTAACAATTGATATTGGATCAGGAGAAGATGGGGAAAACGAATTCTCAGATGCGATCAGGTGAAGCTGAAATTTTCGGCTCGTTAGATGTTGTAGTTCCAGGAGGAGTTTCGTGATTTGTTAGAATGTCCAATACGTATAGGTTTTATTCTGCTCAATTTTGAATGAGTATTTTTCAAAGCTATGCGTGAAATGACAGAACAGGCGTATTGAACAGTTTGAGTGGTTAGAATGGTTATAGCCAGTTTTTGTTTGAATTGATGTTCGAAGATGGACAAGGATCTGAAGGCTATCGCACAGCGAGAAAATAAGTTATTTTTGTAAACTATCTACTATTATCTACTCCACATTTATGTGAAAGAATGCATAAACATAATTCATAAACTTAGCAAAGTACATGAATCAATTTTTTTTTCCGAATTGGAAAACAGGTAAGATTCAAGTCTGCTGAGTCTACTGACCGACCATAAATTAAAAAAATTTACTAACATTTCATTTTTAGTTACGCGAAAACTGTTTGATGAAAAATTGCATACTTGAAGAACATCACGCTCAATTTCCAGGTGGTAGTACATTTCCTGCCATATTTGGAGAAAAGCCGAAATAAATGATGACATGAAGCAGTTAATGATTGGGAGTACTTAGTTTATTGATTTTTTTGTTAGTCTTTTGTACAAATACCTTTTAATTCATCTCTCAGAAAAAACACTATGTCAGATAGGTCGTTCTTTTTGTGATTTTTTTTAAAAACTAAATCGACGCTACTTTTTTCACTCGTTCTTGTTTTGTTGTGATACTTATTTTTGTAACTGACAGGTATTTTTTCACCTGAAATAGATAGAAAAACTATACGATACAATGATCAAACTTGCACGTTGTAAATGTTTGGACTAATGTGAGCTGTTCATTAAGTAACTTTAAAAACGGTTTGATTTTCAGGTGCAATTCTGAGTATGCCCATTATTAGTTTGGCGTAACTGAATCTACCATCTATTACCCTACAGTTAAATAGGAACATTGAGAAACTGGTATAAAAATCGGGTACGTTTTTAGATATCTTACGAGAAAACCTATGGAAGTGATCTCCTGTTTCTAGTGATTTGTACGTCTATCGATAGAGTATATCGACGTAGTAAAAAGCCTAAAAGGATTTCGGCCGATGACTCATCCTTCAAAAGTGAGAATTAAAAGGTTAATCTATGGAAAACGTAAAATTCAATAACTTGGGAATGGAATGAGTTGTAAAGCTGGAACCTTTTATGGATATCACAGACATATAGAAGAGCCATAGAAAGAAATTTGAGCTCTTAACTACACACACTAAGATCATATTTTGCCTAAATACAAATACTTTTTCCTTGTTTTTCTTTACTGTGAACTTTATTCTATGTTATCAAAGGAATAGCTAAATCTTTTCACTTTGATTATGTATAGCTGATTTTTCACAGGCTATTTTTTTTACGAAAACAGCAATCTTTTAAATTAAGAAGTTTATATAAGTCGACAAAGCTTAAGTAGTTGGAATCAAATTTTAGTAGACGAAATATGCCACAGATGAACTGAATTTATACGATGTTTTTCAAAACAAATCGTATCATACCGTAAAATACCAGCAATATCGGCCGACTGATTATACTTCATACTAATGCCGGTATACCGGTCGGCGTTATAATTCGTACCAGTATATCGATACCGGTTGCACCTCTGGTGTACAAGTGTTGGAGATTTGACTGATCCTTTTTCCGAATCTCTAAGATCCGCCATAACCTAGAACAAGTCGCTAAATCGAACTAGAAAAACGGTATGGAAAGAAAGAAAGAAGAATTTTGCTAGGCAACGCTCAGAGTGAAAAGCAATAAGTCTCACTCAGTCGACTTAATTAAAGACACTATTTTAACAGTAGAACTTACAATGTAGACTACTACCGCTACCTTTCAACGGTAGTTTGCGACTCCATTGAATGGCACACACGCACACACACACACACACACATACACACACATACTCATAAACGAGAAAAACGTCATAATGCCAATAGAAAGAGAATTTTTTCTTTTCTTTCTATCGTCATTATGAATACTCATAGTGACTTCTCGCGTATATGTTGAGTAAATTTGATTGTCTGCATTGAGAAAAGGAACGAAAAAGTTATGGGTTGTTCTTATTTTTTCTAATGCTTTCTTCATGCGCTACACATCATTTTTTTTAACGAAAGAGTAAAATTTCTCGTAGAAAGAAAAAAAAGGTCAACGAAACGCTACGTGAGCTAAGTCTCAATCGTTCTAAATATACATTGGCTACATACTTTCAACATTCTTTTTTATTATAACCATGTCTGCAAAAACGTTAAGCGATGAACGAATCAATGAACTTCGAGAAATATTTTCAATGTTAGACGATGGTGGTGGATACTTGAATCAAACTCAATTGGGTACACTTTTATTAGCAATGGGTTTTTCAATACCTAACATTGAAATAAGTGCACTAATGAATAAATTTGATACAGAGAAAACCGGTAAAATTGATTTTCCTCAAGTATTAACAATTATTGCAACACAAACAAATAATTTAACATCAGCAGGACATAGTAAACAAATATTAGAAGCTATGAAATTATTTGATACAAATAACGATGGTACGAATTTTATTTCCTTGTTGATGTTATTTGAAAATTTTTCTCTTTTTATAGATACGATTTTAGAAAGTGATTTTCGTTTTTTAATGACTCAAATGGGAGAACCACTTACTAAACAATCATATGAGGATATGATCAATTCTACGGATGCACGAACAAAAAATGGACGAATAAATTATAGAAAACTAACGTCAGCGATCATTCATCTCTAAAAATAACTTTTTCTTGTACGCTTCTGATGATCTATTTCTTTTACTATGATAAAAGTCAGTTATACATGTTCAAAATATGTTCATACAGAACAGAAGCCAACTATAACACACAACTAGTCTTTTCCCAAACAAAAAGAAGTAGACGATTAGATTCGTTAACATTTTCGTCTTGATAAATACACCACGTAGGTGATTTTTAAATTGAAATTAATTTTATTTATTGACTACCACAACAAAAATAGAATGAAAAACATTCATGAGATTGAGTCGTGCGTATATGAGAAGAACAAAACAAAAATGACTTTGTTAAAAGGTACAAACTAAAAAAAGGCAATTAAAAAAAAACCTGTTAAATTAATGACTAACAGCACACAAAAAGAAGTAACGACTTTGTTTCAAAAAACATATTTGACCATGCTAAATATTTTTTGTATCAGTTTCAATCGACTAAAGATATAGTTAAAAAAAAAGAAATGTCACTGTTTGTAAAAAAAACAAAAACAAGATAAAGTACGAATCGTAAAAATATCTGACACACGTGTACGAGTAAATTTTGTCTCGATTTTAGTGTTCGCGTCAAGGCTTCATTCTACGAAAGATAAAGAAATATTTGATATAAGAAAAGACGAAGAAAAGTAGATGAAAATCACACAATTAAAAAATGACCAATATTTGGTAGAAATATACTGTCGCAAATACAAAAAAAAGTTTCGTACATGACAAAATGAAAGAAAAAAAAAGGTTTCTTATTCAGATTGTACACACACACACACACACACACACATTTGCGCTAAGCGTAAATAATCGAAAAATTATTAAATATGATTAGAAACTGAAAGAATATTTGTTGGAAGACAAATTCATTATCCATAAGGATTTGCTTTTGATCGTGGTTTAAGTTTTTCACTTTGAAGCCATTGTGAATCTTCACTCATATAGTCATCAAAATTATTAAAAAAGAATAGTATACGATCGTTTCGTTCAAATTTATGTTCCCTAAAACAAAACAAAAAAAAACAGAAAATTAAATGTTCAAGTCGAACATTCAGTCATTTATTTTACAATACCATTTTCGACAATAACGAAGTTTATGAAGAATATTAAATTGTTGCCATCGTTTCCAAAAATTAACTGTTTTACCATCAGGTAAATAATCAGCATTTCCAATATGAACAAATGTTAAATCAGATAATATGAGACCAATGTACGGTATACATGGACTACCAACAGAATTTGATAATGCTTCACGATAATTTTTAAATGATCCTGTACTATCAATCAAAACTGTATGTTCCGTTGTTGATTCGGTGATACTTTTTGACCAATGTAAACGTTTCAATGGTCCACAATCGAGTGCAGATAATATTGCCAAATACGAATTGAAATTATTGAGACGTCGTAAATGCTAGACAAAAACAAAAATAATGAAGAGATTTATTAAAACAAATTATTTAAATAAAATAAGCGTTTTTACTTTTAAAATTTTGAGAAACTTTTCAAAGTAATTTTCACGATGTTGTTGAGAATTTTGTTCTAATATTCGTGATCGTACCCTGAAAAAATAGCAACAAAATGGAGAAAAATGTTAGTATTAGACAACGATCGTTCTTACCAATAAGACATTTTATTAAAATGTTCTGTAAAATAGGACAGATTCGGACAATAATCTTCTCCTTTTTCAATTGACATGTACAATATTTCTGGTAATGATATTTTTAAAAATAATTCTGAATCTAATAATGTCATTTGTTCAGCAACATCATTTGAATTAAAATCTAATAGTGTCGAACGTTTTGGTGATATTTGATTTTGTATTAAAATAATATTGGCTTTAATTTGTTGTGGTCGTTTTGAAAAACGTTCCAAAGATTTTCGTCGTAATAATTTTCCTAATTGTAATTCACTACTTCGTATTAAATTTGTGACAAATAACGATAATGATGTCATCATATTATCTGATAGTTCATTACTAAAATAAAATGAATATCCTAATGGTACTCGACTATCAGTATATCATTGAACAATACATGTAATCATAAATTGTCACGAGTGAAGAGTGCAATAGGAATAAGACTCTCGAGGGTTTGATTACAAAACAATTTCGAAGTCTAAACATTCTGCTTTGTATTGCATAAGTAAAGAGAACAGCGAAAACTAAGATCATGACTACTTACTCTATTTCATCAATAACTCGAATCAACAATGAAAATGCATAACGTGCAATTTTTTTCTTTGATTCATATTTAAAGAAAAATGTATATCGTTGTATGAGTTTTTCAACTAGTTTTTGTGGTGTGACAAACGTACGATAAGTAGTTAAAAATGCTTCTTGATAAATAAAATCTAAATAATAAAACATTTATTGAAAAAACTTTTCATTTTTTTTTAAACCATTATCAAGTGGCCCAGAT